AGTATTTATATTTTACTTTTAGTTCTAAACTAAGAAGTAAAGAATGAACGTGAAGATGTATGTATGAAAATACGCGAATATTATCTTTATATAACTTTATCAAATGTAATCGTCTTTGAGAAATTATATCGTATGGTCAGAAGATTTACTCGTAGTTATCTTTAACTTTATGCTTTTGTGAAGGAAAACGAAGAATATAAATTATTAACAATATTTCACTTATACATTTGGACGGAGTTCAATCAAGGACACCAAAAATAGCAGCATATAATAATGGAAATGTACCATTTGAATTACATATTCGAAATAACATTATTATTACTGTACTAGGAAAATATAATCTGACGAATATAATACAAAAAGATGTGAAGCAAATAGAAATTAAGGATATATTAAGTACCTCGGAATGTGTTAGTAAGTATAAATAATAAGTACACGTATGAAAAATAAAAGTATGAAAAATAAAAAGTCAAATAACTACACACATACACATGCACACATACACGAACACATATATATATATATATACATATGTATATACATATATATATATATATATATATATATATATATATATATATATATATATACAATATTAGCCTACCCGCCGCTTATATAACATCATTGTTTATAAAAAATTAAGTAAAAAAGTCCTGAGTCATTTTGTCTTCATGCTGATATTCTTAGATAAATTCCAATTAATCTGCGACTTCAATCTATTCTTTTGATAGATAAACGTACTATGTGCTCAATAGTATGCGCATACGTATATTATGAAGCACACAACACGCAAACATTTATGTATCTAAAGCATGATGCATATTAGTTGAAATTTACTTACGACTATTTCCTTCATAAAGCATCGTAGAGAAAAATAACTGGGGATTTTTTTATTTAATTCTTTATAAACAATAACTCTACATAATCAATGGGCGACGAGTAGATTAACATCCTATGTATATTGGAAAGAGAAATTAGAGAAAACTGTATAAAGCAGATAAGAAAAAAGAATGAAAGAAAAAAGGGAAATGTGAGAGAATGAAAAATTATGATAAATTAATTATAATAAATTAATTGTTCTAATATAATTTTAGAATTAGAAGGTTTTATAAAAAGCAATTTTGGAAAAATTTACAATCATAAATTAAATAAATATATCGGCTGCGGTTCTATTACGGATGGTATTTATAAAATTGAAGTACATATATTAAATTTTGATGAAAAGAAATATGAAGAGAAAAAGATAAAAAAGGAAATAAAGTACAACTAATTGGCACGGTGCAAAATACAGGTATTAATAGAAATACATAATATGTATAATCTATACAGAATATCCCATTTTAATTAACTCTCACGTGCGCGCGCGCATATACACACACATCAAGAAATGTAAATCCGACCATGCAACCTCCACGCGATATACTTTACCACGCGGGTAATGCTAATGCCGGGGATAATATAATTTTCAAATTCTATAACTAGGAAAATTCTTACGGAAAAAAAGTTTGTATCCAATGTTTCGAAAACGTCTTTTCGAAAAAAAGACCTGAGGAAATTAAAATGGGACACTTTGTATACAAAGTAAATATTAATAAGTGTCTCATTTGTTTACCTTGCGATATGAATTATCGACTGTCATAATTATCCGAGAGGGGTGAAGATAGTTTGCATATATTTTATATCTACTTCTTGCACGCGTGGTTTGCTTCTTTAAAATTAAATATTTATCATCACACAGAAATCATATATAAATTGATCCTGTTACATATAAAATATTTATCTTTTACTTTACTTCAGAGAGTTAAAAAATGAATCACATCAAGATATAAATATCAAATGTCCGCATATCATTCTTTATTCTACTTGATCAATTGTAATTGTTGTCAATAATTTTATGTACTATTTTAGATATATACATCGATTTAAACTTATTGTACATACATAGTGTTGAATAATTACGTATTATTTATTGAACTTTTTTGTTAATAACTTTTTAATAAACAGTGAGCAACGGTTAAAATTCTTCATTGTTACTCAAGAGGATGTCACTGATAATATATGTCAACATCAAAATCATTGGAGGGTGGTTCTCTATTCGGCATTTTTATCGTAATTTCTTACTCAACAATGTAACTGTTATATAATAACGTGTTAACACACGTGCAACAGTTACATTGTTGAATAGGAAATATAACTAATTTTTAGATCACATGTAACGTTGTGTTTACTGGGTTTTTAAAATCTATTTTAAATATTATTATTTTTCAGTCGACCCACCATATGTCATAATAAATTCTAATGAGGAAGTTAAAAAATTGGAAGGATGTATGTCTTTGCCACTTTTATTAAAAGGTATACATACATCTAAAAAAAGAAAAATAGAGGAGCATATATATGAGCAAGTAAAATCATAAACAATTTAATAATAAATAATTATTTAAATAAAACGATATATGGAATTATTGAAATCAACTTTTCCTTTGATTAAAATTATGATATTCTTAATCAAATTTTAAAACTATTTTTTCTCTTGCAACATGACAATTTCCAGTGTTTTCAACATGACAATTTCCAATGTTTTCATGACATTTAAAATGGATTGGTTTGTTTTGATATGATTGCTTGTTTTCAAGATACAGTTAAAATTAGAAAAACCTCAGTAAACCAGCACAATATTTACGTATCAGTAATATAACATAGATATATTATATCAGCACAATATTTACGTTTCAATAATATAACATAGATATATTATGTCAGCACAATTATGTGGTTTATTATGTAACTATTATCTCTCAAGTAGCAGACTCACGTCAAAATGACGTCAAAAACTGGTCATAATTGGTCGATTAACGTCAAGTGATTAAATAATGACATCTTTAAGACGTCTTTTTTGTGACGTCTTAATGACGTTTCTGTACAACATCTTAATGACTTATTATATGGATGTTTAAAGACGTCATTAAGTCATCTTCGGTCTGTGACATTAAATCGTCATTTTGACGACATTTTCACGACATTTTTGGTCATTCCATGGTTATTTTTGATCATGAATTGACCAGATTTGGTCGTTATTTTGATGTAAGTCTGCTATTATGTATTTATTACGTAACAAATAGTATTTTAGTACTTACAAATAGTAGTACAAATAGTAAACAGTTTTACAAATAGTATTTATTACGTAACAAATTACATAATTGTGCTACAATAACATATTTATGTTACATTATTGATACATAAATACTGTGCCGATTTATTGGGACTGACAGCGCGCTCTAAATATCCATATCGTTGTTGCGAATCACCCTATATACACATGTTTTATTCATAAATTCATTTTAACATTATTTACTATCTAACATTGAAATTTTCGCACACTTTTTATAGCTGTATTCTTTTTCATAGAAAATAAAAAGTTAGTTTACAACAAAAAATTTATTCTATATATTCTTTTGTCTTACAGAAGCAGAATAAGAAGATGGTTTCCTCTACATAAAAATTAAAATGGAATCTTCAAAATAATTGAAAATAAATTGAAATGTTAAAAATGTTTTGTAATGTTTAAATAATATAATACAATATATTACATTGCTTTGAATTAAATATTCTGAATTAAATAGATATATAACCCACACAGCACGTGATATATATAATATCACAATAATATTTCAATAATATTTCTGCGATATTACAATATTACGGAAATATTACTATATTACTGATATTATATAATATTACGTGCTGTGTGGGTATTATTTTACATTTTTTGTTATAGGATTATTGTAGGCTTAAAACATATTTTTTGGGAAATTTTTTTCTGAGAAAATCTGAACTTCAATTACTTAGAAACTTGTATATATATTTGTTGAACTTTTTTCTTCAGTTATTTATTAATCAAGGCTTTGTAATACTTTATTGCTAAATAGCAAGCCGTTAAAATATATATTTTCGAAAGGTTTTCCTCGAACGGAAGAAATTAGCCATAAAATTAGTGCATTAGTGCATAGTACGCAACTTGTCATTTGACCTTGTCATTTAACTTTATATTTTCTGTTAATTTTATAGCTATTTATTAATAGTTACAGTAAAAAAGTTATTGGAACACTTTATAAATTTGCTGAATTGATCACAAGTATTGTTGTACGCATCTCTTTATTTCAATGTATTTTGCAAGAAAGGAAGGTGTTAAAAAAGTGTCAATTTCCGTCCCTGCGCATAAGTAAATACACTTTAACAATTTGTTGTGTGAGTCCTCATATAAACAGAAAATATAAAGTATTTATTCCGGAAGTGATGGGAACTTTTTTATAATGTCTCAAATACGTTGAATACTATCACTATATGAATATATCATCTACCCTCTATTTGCATGAATTTTTATAATAAATCTTGGTATCTAGGGGTTTTTTGGATGTTGATTATGAATTTGCTGATAGCAATCCAATGAGAGAATTTATTTTTCGGAACGATTTCTTCTCATTGGATTGTCGGCTATGTTCTGATCATCCAATTCCGACATACGACATTTTATATAATAAGCCTAAAGTCATTTTTACAATAAAACGGGGTCAACAATAAAAATCGTAGAGTCGTAAATTGTAAAAATTGACCTATCGCGGTAAAGTATGAGAAGAATAATTGATCGCGATTGGTCAATTTCTACGATTTACGACTTTACGATTTCTATTATAGACCCCGCTTAAGTGTTATGAGTCGTAAGTCGTAGAAATTGATCAATCGTAATCGAATATTAAAAAAGAAACGACCGCAATTGATCAATTTCTACAACGTATGACACACGACGCTTAAACTAGCGACGACGGTGCTTATTTTCGTATTGGACTGCTTGCTAAACGGCAATACTCTGTTCTGATTAGTGCGTTTCTGAAGATGGATGGAAATGCATCAATCAAAACAGAGTATTTCCATCCAGCAAGAAATCTAGCATGAAAACAAGCACCGTGTACTGCTTACTTTAGGCCTATTAGGGTCTGGGCAACGATTACGTAACTTCAAGCGGAACTTTTCACTTTTCACTTTTCGCTCATTTTGATTCTACGTGAATTTTTTCATGAATGACAACAATTATGTATTTAGAGATGCGAAAA